AAAATTTTAATACAGGCATTACCTACTAAAAATAAAGACTAAATGTCAGAGTGTCAGATTTCCTCTTATACAATTCTATTGAGGAATTCTGCTGAGTAATCTATACTGAAATTAGCGGTTAAAGAAGAAACGGTCAGCCCGGCTAATGTGGTTCAGTGGTTGAGCATCAACACATGCACCAAGATATTGCCAGTTTGATTCCCAGTCACGCCACATGCCCCGGTTGAAGGCTTGATCCCCAGTGGGGGCCATGCAGGAGGCAGCTGACCAATGTTTCTCTCTCATCTGTGCTTTTTTTCTCTCTCTCTGCCTCTTCCTTCTTCTCTCTAAAAATCAATAAAAACATTTAAAAAAAAGAAAAGGTCAGAAAAATGTAGCCTAGTCTTATAAAATTTCTGATACTAATTTAGCAGTATTATGCATTCTAAAAACTGAACTGATACTGAAAGAAATAATTTTGACCCTTTTCAATACTCCACTTTAAAAGAAATCATCCAGGTAAAACAATTTTCTAGTTAAAAAAACAACAACAACCAGTTTGGTAGATTTCAATCTAATAATATACAAAGACATCCTAAGCTAAATTTTATTAAAAGACTTGATTATCTAAGGATATTAAAAGTAAATAAACTAAAAAAAAAGTAAATAAACTATTAAGGGACTCATGAAATTTTATCCTACCTAATATACTAAAATTTACAACTTTTACTGCTTTTAGTGGGAATCTTTTTTCATATATTCTATCTACTCTTCTGTAAAATGAGTAGCAAGAGTAAATCTCTTTCTGGGAGCAAAACTATTGACAACAAAATTAAATTAAACGGATATACATACAGAACTGTACTGTCTTCTGGAACAAAGTCTTCATATGATGTAGATGGCAATGAACCTGATTTGTTTTCCTGTTCATTCTCAGTCAAAGATTTATGATCTACATTAAAAAACAAAATACAAACATGAGTAACAAGTACACCAATTTAAACATCATTCACAATAATATCTAAGTAATATCTTTATTAACTAGAGATATACTGAGCCTTTAAATGTGCAAACATATAAAGGTATCAAGATTGAGCCAAAAAGTTAAGTGTCAATATTTTTAAAAAAATCAAGAAAATAAGATAGGATGAAATATAAGATAGGATAAAAGAGATTTCTAATGCAGAAAACTCTAGTTTCGCCTGAACTTTATTTGAATTTTAATCAAGGTGAACATCAAGTATCCCTACTTTTGTTTGTATTATATAGAAAAATAACAAAAGGCTTTATAAAAAGGCTACAAATAAAGAAGTTTATGTATCTTTTCTTTTCTCATTGTTTTACTGTTACCTATTTTATAGGGGGAATTGAGTAGGATATTTGGATACCTCTTTTTGTCTTTCCATTTGTCTTTTTATATTTCTCTTCGTCTCTCCTATATCTTTCTGCACTTAATTTTGTTTATTGTCTCTTTCTTTTTCTACTCATCTATTCTTACTCTGTAACATGATTATAATATAGACATAACTGTGTATTTAATGAAATAAATTAGTTTTCTGGTTCTTATTGTGAAAAATGGTACGTGGAATATTCTATAAGTTTGGTTTAAAGAGGTGTTGTTTTTTTTAAATGCACTTTTTCCTAGACAATGATGAGCCTTAAGAAAAAAATGATTTCTCATCCTGCCTTGGATTATTAGTTTACCCTGTCTTTTAGAGCAAACCAGTCTTATAAAAAAGAAAAAAAAAATTTAAATCAATAAAAGATTAGGTTATAATCCAAGGCCACTCCTTGGCCCATTGAAAAACAAAGATCCCTCTTTAATTATCTAGGTAAAGAAAGACAGTTTAAAATCTGATAGTTGCAGTGAGTTATAACTGACTAAAAATAAATAAATTTTACAAATTAAGAATCTCTGATTTTAACAGAAAACTTAACATGAGTTAGTGTAAACCCACACTAACAAATATGAATAGACAAATGTATATAAGCATAGTTAGAAATAAGATTTACTGAAAAACATGGAGGTTTAAAATTAATCATTAGTTAAGGGGTAAAGGGGAAATAATTTCTCTCAAAAAAATATCTAATCCTTTGTATGGGGACACAGCAAATATTTACAGCTTATTATACACAAGCAAGGAAAATAAGGTAATTTTTAGGCTGGGTCTGGAATGGCTTGTTTTGGCCTCAACACCAAATCATTTTGTTTCTCCCATCTCAGTTGTTTGTTTGTTTGTTTGTTTGTTTATTTATTTATTTATTTATTTATATTTTTAAAATATATTTTTACTGATATCAGAGAGGAAGGAAGAGGAAGAGAGAGACTGGGACCCTTCAGGTCCATAGGCCGACGCTCTATCCACTGAGCCAAACCAGCCAGGGCCCAGTCGCAGTATTTTTTAAAATACTAACATGAAATTTTATTACTAGAAATTTGTTAATTCTTTTATTTGCCATATATAACAAATCTATGGGCAAAAACTAAAAACACTTTCCCTAAAAACAAGAATACATAGGGTTGTCTGCTTTCATCGCTTTTATTCAACATAGTACTGGAAGTCCTAGCCACAGCAACCAGACAAGAAGAAAAAAAGGCATCCAAATTGGAAAGAAGGATGTAAAATAGTCATTATTCGCAGATGACATGATATTATACATAGAAAACCCTAAAACTCCACCAAAAAGTGCTTTTTTGGCAATGCAGCAGGATACAAAATTATACCTAGAATTCGTTGGCGTTTTTATACACCAATAATGAACTCTTAGAAAGAGAAATGAAAAAAAAAAATCCCATTTACCAGGGTAACAAACAAATTAAGATACTTAGGAATAAACTCAACTAAGGAGGTAAAAGACTTATACTCAGACAATTACAGAATGTTGAAAAAAAAGATACAAGAAGATATAAACAAGTGGAAGAATATACCATGTTCAAGGACTGGTAGAATTAGTATCATTAAAATTTACATGCTACCCAAACAATCTATAGATTCAATGCAATCCTTATTAAAATACCAATGGCATGTTTCATAGATCTAGAACAAACACTCCAATTTATATGGAACAAAAAAAAGACCCTCAATAGCCGAAGCAATTTCTTGAGAAAAAAAGAACAAAGTTGGAGGGATCACAATACCAGATAGCAAGCTATACTATACAGCCACTGTAATCAAAACAACCTGATACTGGCACAAGAACAAGCATATAGATCAATGGAACGGAACAGAACCAGAAATCAACCTAAGCCATTATGCTCAATTAATATTTGGTAAAGGAGGGAGGCAAGAAAATACACTGGAGTAAAGATAGTCTCCTCAATAAATGATGTTAGGATAACTGGACAGATAGATGCAAAAAAAATGAAACCAGACCACCAAGTTACACCATACACAAAAATAAACTCAAAATAGAAAAAAGATGTAAATGTGAGTCGTGAAACTGTAAAAATCCTTGTAGAAAACATAGGAAGCAAAATATAAGACATCGCACGTAGCAAAATTTTCACTGATACAAAGCCTAGGCCCTAGGGCAAGAGAAACAAAGGGAAAAATAAACAAATGGGACTACATCAAAATAAAAAGCTTCTGCACAGCAAAAGAAATCAGCATCAAAATGAAAAGGGAACCCACTGTATGAGAGAACATATTTGCCACTGATACATACATCTGATAAGGGGTTAATACCCAAAGTGCCCGATTGATGAGGGTCAATGGTTGAGCAACGAACCTATGAACCAGGCGGTCCTGGTCAGGGCACAGGCCCGGGTTTTGGGCTTAATCCCCAGTAGGGAGTGTGCAGGAGGCAGCTGATCAATGATTCTCTCTCATCATTGATGTTTCTATCTCTCTCTTCTTCTCCCTTCCTCTCTGAAATCAATAAAAATATATATTAAAATAAAAAAAATATATAAAGTACTCATGCAACTCAACGAGAGGAAGAAAAACAACCCAAACAAAAAAAATGTGCAGAAGACCTAAAATGACACACAAATGGCCAAGAGATACACGAAAAAAATGCTCAATGTCACTAATCATGAGAGAGGTGCAAATTAAAACAACAATGAGGTACCACCTCACATCTGCCAAAATGACTACCATTAACAAATCAACAAACAAGTACTGGTGAGGATGTGGAGAAAAGAAACCCTTAGTACACTGCTGGTGGAAATGTAGACTGGTACAGCTCCATGGAAAATAGTGTGTGTTTCCTCAAAAAATTAAATATGGAACTGCCGTGTGACCCAGTGATCCCACTTCTAGGAATATAACCTAAGAAGCTGGAAACACCCATTAGAAAGAATATACGCACCCCTATGTTCATAGCAAATTTATTTACAAAATCTAAGATCTGGAAATTGCTCAAGTGCCCATCAGTAGATGAGTGGATAAAAATATAGTGGTACATTTACACAATGGAATACTATGCCGCTGTAAAAAAAGAAGGATCTCTTACCCTTTGAGACAGCATGGAGGGACCTGAGAGCATTATGCTAAGTGAAATAAGTCAGTCAGAAAAAGACAAGTTTCACATGATCTCACTAATTTTTTTAATGTATTTTATTGATTTTTTTTACAGAGAGGAAGGGAGAGGGATAGAGAGTTAGAAACATCGATGAGAGAGAAACATTTATCAGCTACCTCCTGCACACCCCCTACTGGGGCTGTGCCCGCAACCAAGGCACAAGCCCTTGAATGGAACTGAACCTGGGACCCTTCAGTCCGCAGGCCAATGCTCTATCCATGGAGCCAAACCAATTAGGGCCACCTGATCTCACTTATATGTGAAATCTAATGAACAAAATAAACTGACAAACAAAATAGATCCAAAGACATGGAAGCATGCAACACACTGAGGATCTCTAGAGGAAAGGGAAAAATCAACCAAAGAAATTAAATACATACTAGAGGTCTGTTGCACGAAAAGATTCGTGCAATAGGCTTTCCCTTCCCCTGGCTGCTGGCATCAGTTTTCCTCTGGCACCCGGGACCCAGGCCTTCGCTCCGGTCGGAGCTGACTTCAAGCCTTCACTGCCCCGTCCGGCCGCCCCGGGTTGGGTCGCACACGGGATGCCCGGATGGCAGCCGGGTGGGCCAGCCAATCGCTGCTGCACCGCCCGGCTGCCCCGGATCAGGTCGCACATGGGACGTCCACCGCCCCGGGTCACAGATAGCAGGCCCGGATGGGGTAAGGGCAGGCGGGATGGCGCTGTTCCACCCCACCGCCCCAGGTGGCAAATAGCAGGCCCTGATGGCAGTGGGGTAGGCAGGACGGCGCTCTCCCACCCTGCCTGCAGTATGCAAATTAGCCGCCATCTCTGTTGGTGGTTAATTTGCATATCATGCTGATTAGCCAATGGGAGGTGTAGTGAAGGTACGGTCAATTACCTTGTTTGTCTATTATTAGATAGGAGGATATGCATAACCCATGTACACAGACAACAGTGGGGTGAAGGCCTGGGGAGGGGTCAGGAGTGGGGAAGAGGGGAGTCAATAGGGAAAAGGAATGGGGACATCTGTAACAATAAAGATAAATTTTTAAAAAATTTTAAATGTCAATTATATAACTCCCCACTTACTGAGAAACACTGCTCTACCACTGGCAAACACATACTTTTATATTAATACTAGAGGCCTGGTGCACAAAAATTTGTGCACTCGGGAGGAAGGAGGGGTCCCTCATCCCGGCCTGTGCCCTCTCGCAGTCTGGGACCCCTTGGGAGATAACGACCTGCTGGCTTAGGCGTGCTCCCGGGTGCAGGCCTAGGGCAGGCCGAATCCCTAGGTGCAGCCCCTGGTTGGGCTCAGAGCAGGGCCGATTGGGGAGTTGGGGCACCGCCCCCTGTCGTGCACAGAGCAGGGAGATTGGGAGATTGTGATGCCACCCTCAGTCACGCTCAGGGTAGGGCCGATTGGGGGGTTGGGGCACCATCCCCTGTCACACTCAAGGCAGGGTCGAGGGGGAGGTTGCGTCGCCACCCCCTGTCATGCACAGAGCAGGGCCAATCAGGGGG